CGCAGAAAATCTTAAAATTGGAGACTCGTCTGAATAGTAGACGAAAAACAAAACCCAAAAAAAAAAAACACCTCGCTTTTCTGGATTTGATCTACTTTGTTCTCGATTGCAAAGGTTATCAAAACGAAGTCGGAGGACGATTTGTTTGTACTAAATAAAAAAAAACGGCACCGTCAAAGTTCTAACGCTAAAAAGTCGTAGAAAAAAAATGAACTGTAATTATTTAATCCTCGACGGGCAATGACGCTACCTCTCACCGGAAGGCTACGATTCATTTAAATTGGCGTCATAGAAAATTGATTTCCTGATGACTCGAGAGTTCCGCTCGAGCCCAGTAACTTCAGTCGGTCGATACCAGCTCGAATATCGAGTGTCTTAACAGCTGATAAAGATGAACCTCTTGGCCATTGAACATTATACATAATGTTGCAACTACCGACGAGCAAAATGTCACCGATCGAATTCTCTTAGACCTTGCGGACATCTTGGAAACGCAAGATGTCGCCTTTACAGGAGATATTATTTACGCACTCGCTATAGAACCGCCCCAGAGGATCATTGCCATCATCCTAGCTCTCGGAGTCATGCAAAGAGTTACACGATCGCGTGGAAATTCGCAGTTAACCGGCAGAGGAGAGGCTCGAGTTATTTAGACGATTAGTTATCATTCTCAACCCTGAACAGTCTACCATCTACGAGTTAAGGAACAAGAAGGGCAGATCGGTAGAATATATATTTATATGTATATATATATATATATATATATATGTGTAACCGTAGCGGATCGGAAGCGAGATTCCTCCGACTTGGCATCGAAAGCTACGACATTCCGTGTCTGTGTGTTCTATTTACTTGATCCTGAATGCATCCATCAGCTCGTTCATGGCGGCATTAGCAGCGGCTTGCGATGCAGCCTGTGTCACCCTCTGCTGCAGACCGCCCCCGCGGCTAAACACACCACGTACACTCAACTTTCTCTCCATCGATCCTCCACGAAGGCTTTGCACCTCGGACAGCCTGCTCAAAATTCACCTTAGAAGGAGACAGAAGCCGCAAAAACAATTCCGAGGAGCAACGTGAGAGAACGCACTTCTTGGCTTCCTACACGGTGGAAAGCAGATTGAACGCGACGAAAATAGAACAGAGGGAAAACCTAAAGATTACACTTTCTCCGTCTAATGCGCGCGTTAACCTGTATTTAAAAAAAATAAATAAATAAGTGTTATAATTAAAATCGTTTGCAAGATCATAAAAGCTCTCTACGTACGGTGTTAATATCTCCTCTGAATAGTCTTGCTCCCTTTTCTCCATTTCCAGGGAGAAGTTTAAGTAGGCTTTTCCTAGTATACATGGTTTACATCAAGTGAACCCATTCAGAATTCATTCTGGTAAATGTCAACGGTTTTATGTAGGCACACTTTTCTCACTTAACGGCACTCGCTTTGGGAAAAAAAAAAATATATATATATAATAAAAAAGGTTGCGGCGCGTCGGGTGGCTCGAGCGAGTACCGGTCGGAAAAGCTCTAAGAATAAACTAACAAACAAAAAACACGACGGGTCGAATGGATATTAACGTGAAGCTTTAGCGCTTCCAGTTAAGAGAAGCTATTTCGTTGAGCTGATCGTTAATTCATTATTTCTCGATCGATCTGGCATTCCTTCGCGTTGCACGCTTCATGCAGGCACCGACATTATTCCTCAAGGGAAGCGAAAAGTGATCAGCAAAAGCGTTATATGTTATGCTCATGGATACTAATCTGTATGAAGAAGGTAACTTAATATAAAATTCAATATCGCGCGGCAAAGTGTATCACGTGTGTCTTGTGGGAAACGGAGCTTCAAGTATGTTAAGGTGAAGTGAAACTCCCTTCAAATTAGTCGATTCTAATACAACACTTTTTTTCAAGGGTATTAGACCAAACTGTCCCAAACTTTGACACATCACTCCTGATCATCTAAGAATTGTCCTGACACATTCAAAATTTGGAAATTTCAACAAAATTTTTTAAATCAGCCCAGACCAGAACCAAAATGGCGTCGAACTCTCATATTTAGATCAATACATAATTATCGAAGGCTCTGATATGCGAATTGAAAGGGTCAGAACAATTTTACGACAATTTAGAACACTCTGGTAATCGATAAACTCGCATTTGAACGGGATAAAGGCAAGAAAAGAGTTGTATGCGCTTCTATGCCAAAACGATGGTAATACGAGGTCTCGGAGTGGAAATTTAATTGACCTGGAAATCACAGATGGCGCAGGGGGTCCCTCTGCAGTTAATTAGGGCCCCAGAAGGCATGAATCCAGAGGATTTCTGGAGTTTTACTTCGATTTCTTTATAATTAGTGTACGAAAGCGACAAGTGGAGTATGCCATTTGGTACAATACCGAATATAATTCGACACAGCTGTCGATATAAAAACGAACGTCGGCAACGTAAGCATTTAGAAAAATCTTCTTTATCGACGTCGATCAAGTTCCTCGACGTGTTTCACTTCACCTTAAGTGTTAATAAATACACAAACTATAAAAGTGTAAATATGGGTAGGAAGGAGATACCACGGAATGTCAAAGAAAGCTATTTTCTTATTTCAACGACTAATTGCTAAGGAAAGATGCGTGAATAATTAATCGGCAGGGAGTATTTTGCAAGCTCTTCAATTTTCCCCTGTGATCGATTAATGCAAATCTCATGTCTCTCTTTATTCTCGAAATTTTAGAGTCCCTTTGTGATTTGATTTAACGTGATTAAATTCGATTTAATGTACAAAGTCAGATAAGAACGATTCATTGGTCCCTAGAAATTAAGAATATTGTTATAAAATTCAAAACTTTATTGTACAATCACTAAAGACTGTGTCTTATTCGTGGAAAGGATCAGTTAATTCGATTGCGCGTTGTTAAAGTAAATCTGGCAATGAAAAACATATAAAAACGATATCGTAAGTATCTTAACGTTCTTTCAGAGATACTTACGATATCGTTTTTATATTTTTTCATTGCCAGACAGATTTCCTTGAACACCCCGTAGTAGATGCGATAGCTAACAAATTAAATAAGAGGATTGTTCTCCAATTAGGAACATAGACATTTAAAACCAGATATTCGCAATATAACAATTGCATGCCGAAGGTGTTAGGCAAATACGCAATTTGGTTAACGAGGTTTTTTTCTTTCTTTTCCTATTACGTTTTAAATATAATGGATACAGGACTACAGAAAGGTGTGGATAAAACTTGCAACGCGACGAGATCACCGAAACCAATTTCTCACATAATTAAAAATGTCATGCTGTTAGTAAATGGTCAAGTATTCTCGATTCCTCGGGGAAAAGAAAAGAAAAAAAAAAAAAAAAAAAAGAAGGAAGTCATTCACCGTCCGATATTTTCAATCGGTATATACAAGTATCATGTACATTGCGGCGTTCGAGTGCAATCGAACAAACTAATTTACAACAACCGGTGACTGACACGTCGTACCTAATGCTCCTTCTTCCAACTTAGGGAAAGTAATTCATTATTAAAATCCCCAAAATCGTTTTCTACGTCGCTAGTTATAGTAAAATTAGGAGCAGGGGTGTGCAGGTCCTCGGACAGATTCACTACGCACCTTGCAACATAGACGTACGAACACATCGATACATATTCAATAAAAATAATTCGCAAGTTAATGACGCTGTAAGGGGGGACGTTTCATACGTGGTAGAATAATTCCATCTCTACCGCGGGGTCATGACATACAGACGCATTAACACATTCGAGTACCGGCAAAATTAATGAAATTCTGAAACTGATTGCCGCAACTTGTATCGTTAAAGCAAGAATAAAAATGATAAAATTTTTATAATTTGTATACTTGCTTTATAAGTAGACAATAGACCACTTGTTATTACTATGCTGAATTTATTTAGCATCATGTTACAGGTATTTCGGAAAAGTCGAGGAACAACAAAATTTAATATCTCTGGCTAGTGTGATAAATCGAAAAACACTGAATTTTGCATAAAGGAATTTTACATAATTTGCATATATAAGAAGTGTCACGGCGTTTTCCACGAGTTTTGCAGACTCCACAACGCTTTTGTGGGTATTTCGATTTCCCCGTTTGTGCAATTCTTTCCAATCGGTGTGTTATGTCTCCTGAAAGTCTGTAAGGAGGGTCAAAGTGAGGTGCTCGGCCCACTGATGTTGAACTACTGCTTGATCAATTTTCTGTATCACGATATTCAGTAGCAGAAGAAATCCATTCTTCTGCCAGAGTTTGTAAGAACTTGGAAAAAGTTATATCGGTAGGTGGATTAAGGTGAAGTGAAACCCCCTTCAAATCAGTCAATTCGAATACAACACTTTTTTTAAAGGATATTAGATCAAACTGTCCGAAACTTTGACACATCACTCCTGATCATCTAAGAATTGTCCTGATAGGTTCAAAATTTGGGTTTTTGGAAGAAATTATTAAACTTAGCCGAGACCAGAACCAATATGGCGTCGAGCTCTCATATTTCGATCAATATACAATTATCGAAGGCTCTGATATGAGAAACGAAAGGGTCAGGACAATTTTACGACAATTTAGAACACTCTGGTAGTCGATAAACTCGCAAAAAAAGTGTTGTATGCGCTTCTGTGCCAAAACGATGGGAATACGAGGTCTCCGAATGAAAATTTAATTGACCTGGAAATCACAGATGGCGCAGAGGGTCCCTCTGCAGTCAATTACGGCCCCAGAAAGCATGAATTCAGAGGATTTCTGGAGTTTTACTTCGATTTCTTGATATTTATTGTACAAAAACGACAGGTGAAGTATGCCATTTGATAAAATATCCAATATAATTCGGCACAGCTGTCAATATAAAAATGAACGTCGGCAACGTAGGCATTTATAAAAGTCTTCTTTATCGACGTCGATCAAGTTCCTCGACGTGTTTCACTTCACCTTAAGCTTACGATAAAAAAGAAATGAATTGAAGAGAGTACAATGTAAAAGAAACATGAAAACCTTCTTTTTGTCCATTAGATTGATTATCGCAAAAATGAATAATATGAAAGATACCGATCAGCTTGGTCAACGCCTTTCATACGTTGGATTGTATTTCATTATGCATTCAGGCTTACGAACTTGCTGTCCAGTTTTTTTTATTTATTTTCCCAGTCTCAACGATATCGGTATTGTGTATGGTAGATATCATTCGGACATCCCGATTATCTTTCCATTTGAGAACTAGTACCTCACCTTTACGCCGAAAATCTAATTCACCTATTTTCAATCTGAGATCATTTAGATCCTTTAGAAACCCCCTATTCTTACGTATGGTACCGCAAATACGAATTTTCTTCATCAATAAGCTTTCAGCTAATGTAATGCTATTATAATAATTGTCCATGTATGCATGGTGCCATAAGTTTTTGTTTTTATTTAAAAGTGAAATAGTTTTTTTCTAAAGTCTTTCCTTTTCCACAATACAGCTGAAAGTTACAGACGTATCCAGTACTTGCCTCAGACAACATTCTGACTAGTATTCCGTACTTTGTTATTTTGCTCAAATTATAAACTCTAAAGGACAATCTTCCACGATATGGTATCATAGCTTCATCTAAAGAAAGCCCCCTATGGCTTGTATACAGTGCTAAATTTATTTATACGATAATTTATTACGGGTTGAATTTTTTTTCATAACCTGCTTGGATTTGACGTCATTTCTGCATTATTGGAAAAGTGGGGAAAGCGCAAAATTCGAAGGAATCTATGCCTTGTCATTATTAAAAAAAAAAAAAAAGGTGTCGCGATTGACGGACGTGTTGACCAATAATCATGTATTTTAGTTTTCTATACTTGTCCCATCAAAATATTTACTGCAAAAAATTATTTCATCTCGGAAACTGTAGTATTGCACCACTCTTTTGTTTTCCTTACACATTTATACCTCCGGTGCATCTGATCATAATATCTGTTAGTTTCAATTGTGACCATTTCTATAAAATCATCATCAATAACTAGTTCGACAATTTCATTTATACTTTGAGGGTTATTTGGATGTAGCTTGACACCTGAATTACCGGTAAACATTTCAACGTTTCTTTTTGGATCATATTTTGTGCACTGATTATCTGTTTGATAATTACTGTCGCTGGATTAGCTGTCATATATTATCTGAGTTTTACACACCTCCGCGTAAATTGCGTTACTATATCGCTGTCCGTCTCGTTATCACTATGAAGTTCCGTGGATTCAATCTCGGAAATCTCGTCAGCACGTATTTCTTCATTTTCCATTAAAACGGTAAATTTTTTCAAGATTATTATGTATATGGGACAGATATATTTGATAAAACTAACAAATCCAGTATGAAAGCACTGAAATATTAAAATGCAACCTAAATTAAACAACGTCAATAATGGAATTGTACAACTTAATATATCTTTCTCCTATTCGAACACATACATGTGATAATAGACGCTTTCAGCAAGTACTCTCTCAGTGAGCCAATAGACAGCATTTTGAGCAACGTCTTGGCTACCTCACATTAGATTTTGACATTCGACCGTTCATGCGAAATGATTCGTGAAAAGTCGAGGAAAGTCTTGATCATTGTTCCTTGCCTTTGTTTTCATTCGCTCCCAAAATCCAAATTTGCAACTGAGACAAGTGGAGTCAACAATATTACGTCTTATTTGGCTGAGTTGCTCAATGGCTGCGTCCTTTTAGTGTATTTCAAATCATAACTTAGGCGGTTTGCCGCAACCGCCGCGCCACCTAACGATTAGTGAGCCAACTAAGCGGGACGTGATTCACGTCAGCGGCAATCAGGAATAGAATTTAAAATGACGTGAATTCACGTCAGCGGCTGCGTCCTTTTAGTGTATTTCAAATCATAACTTAGGCGGTTTGCCGCAACCGCCGCGCCGCCTAACGATTAGTGAGCCAACTAAGCGGGACGTGATTCACGTCAGCGGCAATCAGGAATAGAATTTAAAACGACGTGAATTCACGTCAGCGGCAACCAGGAATATTATTTGAAAAGACGTGAATTCACGTAAGCGGTCGCGAATGTGTTAATTGGAACTTCGGTTTTTAACATTACAAGAAAAAAATAAGAAACAAAGGCAATTGGTCCTCTCGAAAGATACCATGAAGTACGCTTGCCACCGCGTTATCCAAGCCGATAAATAACAAATTAAAAATAAGAATCCATACTAATGTAGGCAATATTCCAAAACAAGCTCGGTCGACCAATTGGAATCTTATTTTTTATTCGTTATTTCTGAGAACGTGTAGTGGGAGGTGTAATGTCATAAACAATCGATGGCATGCTATGTGTCAGGTTTCATAAGTGATTTCCTTAAAGTACCGAAACCGTAGACAACGGTCGCTCTATGTCGCTCCACAGGCAAATTGCACACCCCCGTTAATATTATTCGCGCGATTCATAGTACATGGAGACACAGAGTACAAGTTCGTGGGAACACGTTATGCGTTAAGTGTTTAATGACACTAAATGCAACAGATATACTGATTAGTAGCGAATAGATGTTAGTGCGAAGACTTATTGTCGGCGCCTGCAATAAAAAGTGAAGTTAGCACCAAAGCCCCGATCACACAAGCCATCAGTTTTAGAGTGAGACTGACAAAGTTCAATGCCTCCACTGATTAGAATTGAGATGTCAAAGAAGGGAAAAGAGGATGTATCATTCTGTAATAAAATCCCAGACTGAAGGCGGGATTTGAAGATGCACCCGACGCATTTTGACAAGAAACCACTACTGTTTACAAGAAAAATACGCGTCATTGAATTAAACCAATACATATGACGTAAAGGCACAAAGCAAAAAAGAACAAGGAAAACGAAGATTTTAATTGCCTTCCCTACAACTTTACCGTAAAATGAGCGGCTAAACCGAGCTTCGATCGAATGCTGATTTATTCCAGTTGAAATTTGTTTAACTCCCTTAACAAATCAATCAACCTTCCTGGTATATATTTTTTTTTAAATTAAAATTCACCGTACATGTACTCCGATAAGTAACAATTAGAGATTTCATTTAATAAATGAAAGATGTGCCACTCAGGTTGTAGATAATCCCTTTTCAAAATCTGTCGCGGCATTCTTCATGTGTTAGATAGTAGAATAACGTTTTTTTTTTTTTAGCGATTTGAATATTCTACTTACGAAGGTATTAGAGGAGGAGGTAGGCCAGGTGTGCCACGAGCTGGTGGAGGTGCTCCGGGCCCAGGCCGATTAGGAATAGCTGGTGCTGGACGACCAATAGCTGGTACTGGTGGGACACTTCGAGTGTTTGCCGGAGGTGGAGGTGGCTGAGATGTCCCTCGTCGTGGACCACCAGGCGATGGCGGGGATAATCTATAAATGTAAACAAGTTTATGCAAAATCTATAGCTGAAAAGTTCTGAGCACCCTCCAATTAACGACTATGCTTTAATACGGTTTATTTATATCAGGGAATAATTAATTAAAAATAAAAACTAATATAAAAATGCTGAAGGGAATTACTTTGTATTAGAAAATATGAACTAAGACCACCAATTCACCAATTAAACAAAAAGGCAGGCCATGTATTCGCTTGTTAACAGTACGGATTTATGTACTTTGATGGTTTATCTGGCCTACAATTAATTTTAACCATTGAAAATGTTCATAAAGACAGTTTAAAATGTTTTAACTAGATCATACATACACCGAGCGGATTTTAATAATTTTTATGACAAGTTAGACGAGAAGTTTGTCTTATGAAACACAGCCTAGTAATTTGTGGAACTGTATACAAAAATAAAAAATATGTCTTACCCAAGACTGTCACAGTGAAGATTGAGCATATGTAGCAAAAGCGAATAAAAAAATTATAGATTAGAAACTGAATGATTCAAATCCATGAAGACATTAATTACCTTGGATTTTCACCCGATGCCAACCAATCGTTCTTAACTGGAGGAGGCACCGGTGTCGATACTGTTGCCATCGAGACATCCCCAATGATACGAAGAGCTTCTTTGCAGGCGTGATACATGCGCAGCATTTCTTCTCGCTTCTGTGCTTCCTCTGGAGATTCTTCCATCATGGATGCCTAAATATTGGATAGTAAAAATATAAATACACTACGAAAAGAAACCATAATAAATTTTATTCTCCTAAAACAAGATAATGTAAATATACTCATGGTCATTGGTAGCTTTTATCAAATGACTTTAAAGGAGATTAGGATTTAGGAGGATGAGAGAAAGGGCTTACGGTGAAAGTAGGAATGAATTCCTTCAAAGTACATTTGTCTTTGGACAACTGAGGGAAGAGGAAAAAATGTTACGTCAGACTAAATTGAAACTAAAATATGCAATTAATGACCTGAAAGAATAACAACTTACTTGATCTCCACTGGCATATAAGTGTGCCAACAGTTCTCCGTTGATAAAATCTTTTGCATTGTTGATGATTAAAAGCATAATAGTCTTTGGAACAAGGTCTCGCGTAGTCTTTGTGACAATTTTCATGTAAGAGTCAACCAGATTCCTAATTGTTTCCACTTGGCGTTCAAGTTGAGGATCCATCGATGACTGACCTTCTCCACTTCCCTGGGATGCAACATAATAATATGTTAGATACATGCATATCTTATCTCTTTCCGTTATTTTAAAACCGTCTCTCATACTACTAGATTTTCAAAAACAATACAGCATTTTGTCAGATTATGCCTAAGCACTAGTCGATTAATGAAAAATAAAGAGAGAAGTTAATCTAGCAGCGTGCCGATGCTTCATAAATACGTAATATTGTGCTGGATCGGGTTGAGGTGTTCGATGTTCATGTTAGTGTTACGTGTTGAACATGTTTTGTAAAATCGTTACAAAACTAAACAGTCATTCGAGACATCGAACTATGGTACCAACCTCATATCCTTCCTTTTGGCCGATTTAGATTTAAAGAGAAAAGTATTGATTCAATTGCACAATTAGTTATTATCTAAGGGAATGGTTCGATTAATAAGATACTAAAAAAATCAACTCCTATTAATTCACTCGTTATACAGTTAAAATTCTATGAAACTCCAATTCTTAAGTTTTCCAAACTCGACGATATTAATTCGTTTCTTGTTAATAAATCGGAATTACGATTATACCAACCCACCACACGACTAATAAAAAAGAAACGAGCCTTAAGTCGGCAATTTCTTTTCACAACTCACCCGCTGCTTATCCTAAAATAAATCGTATACACTGAGAAATATGCACACAAATAATGGCAACGAATTGAAATTACGAATTTTTTTTTTCGAATGTAGGACTTCACATCTATTGCCCGATCAATTATATGAAATGTAGTACAAGACGAGAAAAAAAGATCTTGGAAATGACATTCTCTTTAAAGTGACGATATAATGTTCATACGGACCTCTCCCTCGCCATTGGCTTGCTCCGTAGATTTTTCAGGATAAACTCCGGCTCTAAGGAAGGAAGCCTTCCACGAGTCGACATCGTCCTGGGTCTCGCAACTCAACTCGAGTTGTTTGTAGTCTTTGTATACGTTCCTGCCATCAGGATTGAAAAGGGCAAACAAGTGACGTCGGGACATGAAACCTTGTTCCAAATCACGAAGCTTCAGTCCGTCCAATGGCAACATATACTTCTTCTCCCGTTCCTTTTAAATATAAACATTATACGTAAGTATATGAATTATCCTTCTGTAATTATCTACTATAGAACTATAGGAATAATTACCTCTTCATCCTTGAACCACGAGATGCTTTCCGAGGTTAAGACGAACCAATAATCTTTGGAACCACCCTTCATAATTCCCAAATTGTGTATGCACATGTACCCCTTGCGAATCACTTGATTGCCAAGAGTGTGCCGGCCAGTTTTAACAGCATTCTCCGAGGACTGTTGGGCACTGCAACATAAAATACATTGTACTATGAAACATTACGTCGAGGATAATATTGTACTGATACATTGATGCAGGATATGACAGGCTAAGTTGTCTTTTAACGTTTTGCCGATCATTTCGAATATACCTTCTAGCAAAGAAATATATCCTAAAGAGGCGCAACAACGAAAGAAGAAAAAAAAAAAGAAAAATAATAGAGGGCGCAAACAGCATGTTTGATGAAAGTAGCATCAAAGTAGCGGAGAGTCCAATCTACTCAGTAATCTAAAGGAATGGAAGATAAATCTGAAATCTCGCAAAAAGAAGAAATAATTCAAGAAAGAAGCAATCGTGTAGAAGTTGGAAAGCAAAGGAACGAAAACTGATATTGAAATATGTAATTTAATGATTAGACATTGAGTTTTTTTGTCAATGGCATGTGCCCCTGCCTGTTTGTTGGCACATTTTTAAATGAAATGATTGCACCAAAAAACGTGAGTTTAACGATTAACGCTTAAAACATTTCATAGTAATGCTAAGCAGCCTAAGAATGCATCGTGAAACGATAATATTGAACACGCGTGTAAATGTGATTCGTGCAACATCGACAATATCGTGGGTACAAATAAACGTAACTATATCGTTAGTGGTGTAATAACGTATCACCGTGCAATGTAGACTTATCATTTAACGTGATTACTCTGAAGTGCTAGAAAACCGATACCTTCCATATAACGCACGCGAACACTTATAAAGAATGCTGATGATCTTTAAGCAATTGTCAAATTCAAAGAAAAATGATATCATTTGTACACTCGTGTATATTTTCCTTTCAATATGGATAGAAATTACAAACGAATGACATATCACGTGAATTACAAACTGTTCAATTGTTACGTCTACTTCACGTAGCTGGTCGATATGTTCTACTTATTTTATATACCGATCCGGAGTGAAATATTGCTCTCTCTTTGAAATATATGAAATCTTTCCAAGACTTCTACCAAAACTGAGAATCAATGTTGATATTAAAAGAAGGAAAAAAAATCAATAAATAATTATATTCCAATTACAAGCAGTTACGTACACATTTAACTGCGGTTACATTGCATGAATCAATAAAAGAGTAATGTTATGATAAAGATAATAGTATGCATATGTCTAGGCGCAAAGTCGGAAAAGTACATAAAATGTAAATTGGGGCACAGTAATAGAAAGAGTAAAAAATGTGACAAGAGAAAGAGAAGAAAAAATTGTAGTGTAGCAAATTTCCTTTTTGATGTATCTTAATGGTCTTACCTTGCATTATGGTAACTGGATGCCGCGCTGCCGGTGTAATTAAATAATTGTTTTTAATTGTGGAGTACAATACAGTTGAACATGGAAATAGACACATGGTGAAAATAAAATCCCATATTCTGTTAGAGCATAAGTACCATTGCTGTTTGAGCATGAAGATCATGCTCCGAATTATTAATTACTTATTCATTTGTATTTCTGATGTGTGGTATGTACGCTCGATCATTATTACATTGCAACAGTGACTTAAGATTAACCCGTTCAATGTTGCACTCGAAAAGCATGTTTTTAAGTTAAAGAGAAAATAGTGTACGAGATTTTACACAATTGTCCAGAAATGTGTTTGCATTTGTGTCAAGCTCTATACCCTGATTATTCGATAGTACAAATAGCTCAAGAGACGACTGTGCGATAAAGAAAACAGTTGACATTAAACAGTATGAGGTCAATATGAGAGGAATTCGAATAAGTACGATGTAACTATAAAATGCGTATGAAGAATTCTATGACGAACAGCACTAATGTAATGCGATTAATGTAACATGTACGCGTAGTAGCCACATAAAGAGTGTCTTATTCGCCCGTTGCTACATATATTGATTTTCTTTTAAAGAAACACGTGATAAACGGTTAAGGCAAGATTTCTAAGCGGACTAGCCTTTGCCAGGCATGCGTTGACCGAAATAAAGTCAAATGATTTAATGAAACAACCCTACGAAGTGCAATCTATCGTCTACAGCTAAACGTACATTTAAAGCTGTGTGAGAAAGAAGTTTTTGTGCTGTCGTAAAATATGCTTCATCGGTTGATTATGGATGTTACAAATAAACACTATTTAAATATTGATATATCGGTACAGTACGATTCTTTGAAAAAAATTTCTTTTGAAAGAAATTGTTTCTAAACAATGATAAAATACGTACATGCACGTGCGTTATATAACGTAAGTACTTTACGATAATTTGGTTCTCATCATTTTTTAATCAAATAACTGGAACTTTACATTGTTACTATGAACTTTTATATAGTTGCTTAAACGGACGTATTACCTTCGCTGAATTCGCATTAATATTTCAGTCTCATTGTGGAAAAAATAACATTAGAAATATAAGACTATCTACTTGTAACATCAATGGTAATGAAAATACTGTTTAATTCAAACTTCCGTTTGAGTCCTCCTTTTGAACAAACAATTAACCCTATTTTTAGCATAATTTATTATACAGGGTAACAGCCACGAAAGAATAAATGGATATTTTTCAATAAGAACAAAACGTGAGTTTGCACCAAAAATTGCACTACAGTTAGACCGAGGTTTAATGATTACTTGACAATGCTTCGTTTTAATTATAACCATTTGAAGTGTTTCATCTACCAAAATACCATCGTAAATATTTTAAATGGAAACTGTACTCACTTAGCAAAACCGATGAAGTCCTCGTGATTGGTATTCATGTACGCCAATTCGCAATCCACCAAGAGTACTAACTGCTCCTTGCAGAGCTGTTCACGTTGCCTTATATGCGTGGTTATAATTCGTTCCGTTTCTTCCCTTAACCTGGGATATCGAGCCATCTGTAAAAGGAATAAAGAACAAAATTAATAATTTAAGAGATATACTTAATATTTTATGTGGAAGTAAGAAAACACCTTACCCGATCTGTACAAATGCGAACGACATTGCTAAGTTCCTGTACGACTAGGTCAACACACTTCAAACTGGGCTCTTTAAGCCTATTTATTTGCTTTTTAACGATAGCTTCAAAGGCCATGTCCGGAGTAAACAAACCAACCCTGATACCTGAATAAAACAAGAAAGATTTTGTTATGTAGTGCAATAACGCTTTTTTGACGATTAGTTACGGATACGTACAAATAATATTAATTAATATCAACTTAAATTGTGATAATATTAGTAACAATAGCAATACTCTTACATACCATGAATGTTTCTAATAGCAAATGCAATTTCTTTCCTTAGCTCTTTCTCGTCAAATTCCATTTTTACAATTTCGAAGGGGAAACGTTCATGGAATAATCTGTTTATCTTAGCACCTCCGCTGAGCTCCATAGTATTAATTTGTGCCGAACCCGAACCTTCGATCGTTCTTTCAAAGTCTGATTGAAGTTGTTGTATCATCCTTAAAAAATTTTTACTTTTAGAGACAGCACAAGTTTCATATATTTTTATACTACAGAATATGGGTAGAGAGCCTTGATTTCTCTGTATTTCAGGAAAATGACGTGAACACGAAGCATTAAATTATTAGAACAACCTTATACTATAATTAGTTTCGAAAATAATGCAACAAAATCTTCAAAAACACCTTTTTGCCACGAGAATTAGATTATTTGTTACATTGTGTAGCAGTTTTAACATTTCACACGATACAAATTATTTCACAAAAAGAAACACATCAATCATGTACCACATTACTTGTTCATTTTCCATAAATCATGATACATGAATTCACAAAAAATTATCCTATATTGATCATTTAATGATTTCATGCACATCACACAACTGATTAAACGAAATCACAAAACTAAAACACAGAATACCTACATACACAATTGAAATGATCTGAAAAATAAAAGAAAAAATGCTTTGAAATTCAGGACCCTCTACCCATAGAATTATATTTCAAAGGCAGAAGGAAGAGAACACTAGGTTTTCGAAGATATTAATTCCCTTTGAAGACGAAACGATACAAGTATTGGGAATACTATTGGGAATATTCCGATGCTTAACCATGAAGGATTAACGAAATTAATTTATGTGATGTAAATAGATCAAGAATAGCAAAAAAAAAACTAAGTTATGGTTAATTCAAAAATATTAAGAAACAGGGTATAAGTAGCCCAAGGCAACTCAAGACCTCATTTTATTAAGCTGGATGTAGTTTTGTGTATATCACACAACGTGTTAAGATATTTTACTTACTGTAACATCGCCTTCGTTTTAATTGCAGGATCGTCGGGCCTAAAATGTTTATATTGTTCCACATCTTTTTCTAAAGTAAGCTGTTGTTTTTGTAGCCGATCTCGAAGAGAAGGTAAAGTATCCCTGATGTGGTTGGTCAGTTGTTGATTAAGAACACGTTGCAGATAAGGTGTACCCAACCTTTCGGCTAAATGTCTATAAGATGGATGGCTAAACACAAAAAGATAATACAAGTCATTCTTCATTTCATCTTGGCCTTTAAATAATAGTATTAGTCACACATCATATAATAGTTTCAAGTAAAAAAACAAAAATAACAGCTAAGTACCTGAGGAAGAATTTTCGTTCCGCTGCCAAGGCATTTTTAATATCTTTGCGTCCTTCAATATCTTTCTGGCTTCTATTAACTACACCTATGTAACCTCTGCGCAAAGGCAGCAGTTTATTTTCCAAAATGTCTCTTGCATCAGTGCCATCATCCATAAGATCCAGCTTAGTGATGACACCAATTGTGCGCACACCTATATATGAAAAAAAATTCTTGTATATTCTCGCTAATACATTTGGACGTATATAACTTACCCTGCGGGTCAACTTCCTTGGCAAGTTTAAGAGCATCGCTATTAGCCAGGTCAGTATTTGCTGGAGTTACTGCCAAAATTAGACAGTTTTCTCTTTTGATAAACTGGAATATCATTCCCTTTATCTGAGCCTCTATGTCTGCAGGTTGATCGCCAATTGGAACTTTAGTAAGACCCGGTAAGTCGATCAAGGTCAAATTGAGAACTGTTAAACGAGTAGAATAAGAAATTAATTATTTACTATATTCCATGATTATCGGAAGTATGGTTAAAACTTTAATTAGATTAATCATTTATTTAATTTGATAATATTCTTTAGTAAGGCCTTACCATTGGGAGAGTACACTCTAAGATTGATGGGTATGTTTGAAATGCCCTTATTACTACCAGTAACACGATCTGTTTCAGCTTCAATTTCCCTGCGCACCTCATCGAAATCCACAAACTTTTTCCCTTTACAATGCAAAAACTCAGCAAATTCTGGAAAATAAACCATAAACAATTAAGAATCACAATATCCTGAAAAGACATGAATTTACACTCGATGTTTTCAAACTCTAATACATTATGTTTAATATTAATTTAATTTAACACAATAAATTTATAAATTTGAACAGGTCCGAAAGAAATGAATGGACATTTGATTTGTAAGAATTACAGTAGAAGAGTGCTTAATTATTAAATAATCTTACATGCATTCATTCCAAGATGCAATTAAGCCAAATTCTACCATTTACCGTGTAATGCAATGTCTCCAAATCATGTACAATGGGTAATTAATATTCATTGTTGTATTATTATGATGTTATTGTATTACTGTTTAAATAATCTGTCGATAAAGCAGAGTCCATTCTTCTTTGAAATAATTCTTACCTGCCATATTCATTTAATTTCCTAAAAGCTCTGCAGTACCATTTAGACGGTACACCCTGTTAGCCCGTTAACCTATTAACCTGTGATATACAGTCGGCATACCAATGAGAGAATATAACTCTCTACATGCTCGTATGTATCGCATGGAACATATATCAAGGTATCAGTACTTTTATGTTTGGTTGGGCATTCAAATGTGATGAAAAGTAAAGCAAAGTGTGCGAAGCATCAAAGAGAAAGGAGACAATAAAAAATAGTGAAACACGATAAGGAGACATTTTATCAAAGGAAGCATTGATACTCGTAATCACGTAGGTTTAAGTACAGACAATATAACAGATAATTAATATTTTATCTGCAATGACTCACCAGTAGTGCTGTTAATCAGTTGTAAAATAAGGGGTCTTCTTGTTACGATTCCTGACCCTCTAGGCAGGAAGTCCCTGTAAAAGAAAATAACGTTTAAAATGAGTATAATATAAATTTCACTTTTTTTACAGAAAACGGTAACAAAAATGATGTCATCCTACAACGATCACTTAACCGCGCTCAAACCCACCTTGTACTTAAGCCATCATGCCGACATATACCAATGCCCTGATGTCATCATTTAATTACAAGCTCCCACAATTATGGTACCACGTCGGACCAAACGTTTATTTGTTTTAACGATTTTAATAACGAAACACATTTAAAGAGCCTATGTCATTTGCATTTCATTAGAGAGTATCTCATAAATCGAACAAATAGTGATTTCATGTAGGCACGTCAACCGACTGGCATTTACCGGTTTATTACTCATAGTCCGCTTTTCTTTCTTACATAAGAAATTCTCAAAGCATATCCAAAGAGCTGTTTAGCCAAGAAGATAACCACCGTTTATTAAACTAATATAAGAATCTGCTTCGCTCGTACATTAACACAAGAGGCAACGAATACTAGGCCGTGACAAGACGGCTCAACAAAAACGAGACTGCTTTGTCGGAATCGTTTAATTATACCACGGGTTAAATTAAAATCAAATAAACCGCCAGATCCAATCTGAAATACTCGTTCGATACTAGGTACCTCTCGGAGCATTAAAACATATATTAAGCTCTCAAGTCGAAACATCGTCAACCCTGGGATGGAAACATTTCACCCTCGGAGAGGTACTTCGAGCCAGCGAAACCCAGTGACGCTCCAAGAGCTACCTAAACCAGCATAGAATTTCGTCTCGCGACAACTCGCCCCTGCGAACATCATCCAACCTTCGGCGTATATCTGTCAAACGCATCGTGAACGTTTAACGGAACGTCAATGAGGAGTCACGGCCTGCCGCCACACCTCGAGTCAGAATTCGAATGCGTGGAATCCGGGCGAGTTCTCGGAAGGGAGCGAAGGTTCGACTCACTTGCCGACGAAGTTCTCGAGCACGGAACTCTTCCCTGCGCTCTGACCGCCCACGACAGCGATCTGCGGAAGGTCCAACTGCATGTGGACCCCGAGCTGCGTGAAGGCATCCTGGAGCTTGTTCACGATGGGAATCAACTGTTCCATACCCACGTTGCCCGCCATGGTTTCGGAGTCGGTCGCTGGTGGTCACTGCCGCAGGAACCAGGATCGCCTCTCCCTCTCGCCGTCCCCGTCCCCGCTGTCGCGCGGCAATCGACGGCAATCGACGGCGGGCGCGTCCGGCCGTCCGGGGGCTACCGAGGGTCGTCGCGGCCGACACCGAGCTGCCCCTGCCGAGCGCCGTTTGCCGTGGGAGTGCCCGGAGCGCGAGGGTCCCCCTAACCGCGGCCCGATCGACTAGGAAAACCGAGCAAAATGGCCGATTGACCGAGGAGACGAGACGGGACGAGCCGAGCTCACCAGCGCTCGTCGCACCGAGGACCGCCGACCATACTCGTCGCGCAGCGCACCACAGCGAGAATCGAACCCTCCGCGGACGCTTATGCAGACGCTACGCTCGCGGACGCATAAATGAGATCCAACCTCCAGATTCGGGAGTTAACGCTTTAATCGATAACCGAAGCTTGCGCACTGACGGCTCCGCCGTGACCCAGTTTCGGCTCCGAGATAAAATCCATATCGGCGGTGGCCACTGCTGCCGTCTTTTCGAGCACTGCCACACCGACTCCCGACCGCCCGTGACTGCCTGCGTTTCGTCTCCGATGCCGTCGACCGCCGATTGCCGCTGGCTGGCACGCCGGTAACCGCGGGACTGCACCCCGATGGGATCGATCCGCCGCAATTACTAATGGGAACGGAAAATGAAGAGCCGACGTTCCTCTCGACGTTTGAATCTACCCGCTCGCGCGACTCACTTTCCGACCTCGGCAAACAAAACGAAACGTTTTTCCACTTTTTTCATAAGATCGCGAGATAAAGGGGGAGAAATGTTACTAGATTCAGGTTTTGCGATAACGGTTATTTTCATTTTGGGCGTTTACCCGACTCTCATCTTCAAAGAAATAGATAGTCGCCTCGAGCTACGTTCCGGTAGTTGTGGATCGCCCTTAAGGGTACGTTCCTGTTTCTCACCATGAATACCCTAGGTAAGAAATTTATAGGCTTAGTTTACCCCGATCGTATATACAGACTCTGGTATATATATATATCTACCGCCTAGGTTCACCATTGTTTACACTGATAGTTTGATAAAACTACACCTTTAGTATGCATACTAACTGATCGGTGTAAACTAAAGTTTATGCAAAGTATATCACATTTTTATCATAGTAACTACGTCTCCGTCATACTCGAAATCCGGGATTTATCGGGTCCAAACCCAGGAAATCCAAACTTAAATGTTGATCGAGATGCTCAGAATCAAGTCTTTATATTTATTAATGCGATAGAGACACGCAATTTACTGGATTCAGGGCGTTTATTACCAGAGAAGGCAGGTCCGCTCATCTCTGTTATTACATATCTTTGACGAGAGCGCTCACTTCTCGCACTTTCATCTCACGTGGGTTTATTCGCCGAATTACGTATTTGCTATATGAAAGAACGAGATCACTAACATTGCTGGTCTAGTAATATTGTTAAATAAAGGTAGATACCTTGTAAATCGAAAATTGTTAAGAGGTGGTGGATTATAGGCAGGAAAGGATGGGAAAGGCGAGAAGATAAAAAGCCGTTAAAAGCAGATATGAGTTGGGAGATTGCTCACGTGCAGGGTCGCGCGATCGCACCGTGTGCTGCCCT